AATTTTCTTTTGTTTCTCTAGGTCGTTCGTAATCGTGAACTCCGTGCTCCATATTTACTACCTGCAAATGCATTTAATTCACCTATTGATGAAACATTATCATATCGTGTTCCAAAAGAATGTTTATTTTCTCAAGAATCAGTTGTTAATGCATTAGATGCATCGGGTCATGATACATCAAGATTTGATCGAGAATTTCGTCCAGATCCTCCAGGTAAAATATTTTTGTTTTATATACTTAAATTATTATTTAATGAAACAATACGAGATTTTGTTCGTAAAAGATTCGGTAATATTCGAAATGTTTTACATTTTAATATAGCCCATATATGTTGTCGATATTTTTCATTTGTTAACATATAACAAAATGGTTTACATACATGACATAGGAAAAAGATATCTTTTAATTCATATGACAATGGATTTTTTGATAATGCATAAAACCAATAAGGTATATGTACGAGTAAATAAATAACTAAAATTAAACATGTTGAACGAATAAGTGTATGACTATTTTCAATAACTGTTAAATAAGTTATATAATCAATTTGTTGAAATGAACGTCGTATGGGTGGTGTTGCATTTGGAGTTCCAATTTCTGCTGTTATTGAAGCTGAATAATACATTGAACGACGATAATTTGTATCGAGACTAGGCTATTAAAATAGAATTTATATAGAAAATAATGTATTTTTTTTTATTATTCCTACTTGTTCAGATATAGATCTTCCTGTTTTTGTTGGAGTAACTGCAGCTTCAGTAAGATTTTTCAATGCATTTTGTCTATAGATTTTAATAGCCAATCGCATTTTAATAAGTAAAATAAAATTAATAAATATAAGAAAATATGTAATGAAACAACAAATAGTATTGAGTGTTTTTTCTGTTGGTGCAGTTATATAAACATGTGTTTGTTTACATGTTGGCGGACGATTATTATATCCATATTCATCAACATCAATATAAGTTATTGTTGTGATTAGACAACTAATTAAAATTGGCATCATAAATATAAATAGTATAATCCATAATTTTTTTGTTAATAAACGTTTTTTCCAAAAAAATATTAATGATGTTATTAAAAGTAAATTAATTATAATTAATTCAACTGTTGTGGATAATTTTTCCAAGAAATTAAATAAAAAACAAAGAAATCCACATGATAAACCTTGAGATATATCAAGTAAACGTAATGGTATTAAAAAATTACATACAAATATATCATTGATTAAAAAAGCTAGAATAAATTTATCAAACATTGATATTGATGAACGTACTGATGGTAATATTGGTGGTTGAATAATCTGTCCTGCTATTGAGGATTGTGTACGCAGTAATGTTTTAGTTAATACTGGGCTTGGTATTCGTTGAGCATGTTGATAATGATAAGTTTTTCTTTGTATTGCTAAGATAAGTAGCCAATTAAATATAATTCCAATAAGTCCAATAATTGGTAATAAATATAGTTGTACAAGATACATTATCCTTAAGATTTATGAAGTCTTTATATTAATATAAATATATATGCAATCGTTCCTCTTTCTTAGCGTAAGTTTTATAAAAAATTTGATCATCAACGTTGTTTTCTTTGCGTTTTTATAACAAGAAAAAAAAAGGACAGAAAAAAGAAAATCTCGGGAGAAATGTAGAAAAA